TTGTTTTCATAGCTTGCTGTAGCAAGCGATAAGCTTCATGCAGCTGATAACGGAATCATATCACAACTTATGGCAGTCAACCGTAGTCTAAATATCAAGGTAAATGTAGATTCACTTTCTTTACGATGCAGCACATAAATGTCATAATACAATATAAGTACTATCCCTGAACAGATATGTAACAGAGCTTTTCATTTTATCAAATTTCAGATTAAAGACGTTGAAAAGATGGAAGGTCCACAAGGACTACCTGGGATAAATGGATCCATTGGTAAACAAGGACCTCAGGGACCAAAAGGTCCTATTGGGCCTCAAGGAGCTCAAGGTCTAAATGGCTCACAAGGGCCCCCTGGACCAGGCAACTTTAGTCTGTGCACCTATAGCAAGGAGAAAGGAGTGACACACTTGCAAGGAGATGCAACAAGTGTAACAGTTAATAAACTTCAGCCAAATGTAAGTTTCACTGATAGTATTAAAGTTCTCATTTCTCTTATCCTTTATGTGGTTAAAATGTAGTCAGACTTTAGCAAGTCCCTTTTGCAGTGAGGACTTCAATTTTTTTGTCAGTTAAAAAAATGTATACAGTAAAAAATTATCCCTGTTTTCAATCAATTGGAAATAAGTTTTATTTTGATCTCTTGTTGTATTTGAACTGAATACTTCATTTTATGATAGGGTTTGAAACAGTAGAAAGTTCACAGGAAACAACCTAAAAAAAAATTGTGTTTGCAGTTTGAATGTCCTCTCTGTAATTTATGTTTCTGCTCCCTATTCTTTGTTTGCAACCACAAGTATTTTGCTGGTGCTAAAGCACTTTTTGGTTCCAATCAAAAAACAATCCTTATGACCATGTAGAGCTACTTATAATACAACGCTGAGAAGAAAATTGGAGCATTAGAGAATTTCTAAAACAAGCTATGAGCAAACGAAGTTACCAATATTTTAGTGTAAATGTATGGCAAAAACTCGCTGGATGATATCTAGTATCATCCAACATGGCAGCTAAAATTTCAAAAAAAAAAAATTAATGACAAAATTCATCAAATTCACTTCAAACATGTACAAATCTAATTTATAAACTTGTACAACACTAAAAAATTTTTGATTTGGCAAAAATATCTTTATTTCTTTGACTTTTCAGACACCTTATCAGCGTAAGGTGAGGACTACCAATCACAAAATAAGATTTGCACAACTCGGAAACAAAACAATAAAACGATTTGAAATTTTCTACACTTAGTCACATCATAGTTCTCTCAAACATATTGAAGAATCGAGTTTATAACATTCATAATTAATTTTAAGTTGTTATTTTCTTGCTCTATGACGTCACATGCAAACGAAGAATACTTACAGTTGCTATGTCCCACAAGCTCAACAAATTAGCTAGAATACAGTATCTCAAAATTTAAAACTCTGATTGTGGAAATTTGATTATAAATTGTTTCTATCATTTGCTGTCCTTTGACTTAAAGAAAATGCCTCCTAATTCCTGTAGTACTATTTTAAACAGAGACTGCGTAATTGTTTGTAGGACTAATTGCCCTGGAAAAACTGCTGCAATATGATTAGTTCACTATTATCTGAGGAGGAACAATGAATTAATAATGTTTTTTTTAAATTTAAAGATCTATTTTTGAAAGGTTTTTGCTGAGGAATTATTCTTAAAAGAATTCTAACCCTTATTTCATCTAATGCCTTCTACAGGGTTATGTTATCATTGGACCATTCTGTTCTACTATTGGAGCAAAAGAATACAATCTGGAAGTACATATTCCCCTAAGTGGTGGTAATCCCAACTATGAGTGCACTTGCAAGGGTGAGTCTACACTCTTTCCTCCTCAGAAAGATCCAGATAACCCTGGAAATTCAGACAAGAAGGTGATGTGTTTTCTTCACTATTGGCTTTGTCCAAATACCA